TTTTTCAAAAACAACTCTGAACTGACCAAGTTCGGTCAAGAGCCAAAAGCAAAATGGTGGTGATGACAGACAGAATTTGGTGATTTAATTTGTGCTGATGTAATGAATGAATTTAAGTGTTTGAAACAAAACGATCATATGAATGAATATATGCATAAACAAGAAAACAATTGTACACATTTGTATTCTTGCAAAGAACACTGAACAATTATCTACCTAATCCTTACAGTTCATATAAAATCAACAAATCACACTGATGAAACAAGCCAAAATCTGCCCAATTACCAATGGTGAACAACAATCAAATTAATAAAATCCTCCACAATTCACAAAACATTCCCCTTTTTCAACAACCACAATCTCAACACTTTCTATCGCTCATTGCTAACTTATCACCCAAATCAATCCAACACCCATCTATATCAAATCCTCTCACATCGCTTTCATCAACTCAACTATCCCCACATATGTATCAAATTAAACCAATGATCAAACCCATCCCAACAATCAATACCAATCAATAATCGATGATCGCTAATCACTAATGAATCATTCAATCAATCCACCAACCAACTATAACCACTCAATAGAACCACGAAACTCTCATCAACCACGAAGCATCTCATTATCACTTCACTACCATTTAGCCACTACCATTCACTGCTGCCACTGGTGCTCCTCGACCTGAAAAATCTCAAATCTCATCAAAAATACTTCATATCCAAAAATACTCCAAACAATCATTGCCCTCTTCATGCTTTCATTCATCCACAAAAAATTTCACTTCAAACCGTCACAGCTCAGATTTATGGTTCCCACTGTGAAATGCTTAATCGTTATTGAAAATGAAAAAGCAACGATGTAAAAATAATTTAAAATGAGCTAAAAATATCGCTCTGCTCACCTCCGCGACGTGTACCTCGACCGCCTCGAGACGAATTACCCCCGCGACCCCCACGAGTAGCATCTCGTTCGGCTCCATCCTCCTTGTTTCCATCGCGCAATTTGTCATCTTGATCACCTCCACCTCGATTCTGACGGAATCCACCACGGAACGACCCACCACGTCCACGTCCTCTGAATGGGCCCCCGGCACCGCCACCACGTCCACCCGCATAACCACCCTCGAAACCGCCTCTCTCGAAACGATAGCTGTTTCCGTTCATGCCTTGTGGTGGCGGTGTGGTACGTGAATAGAGTTGTCGTTGCATTTCGTCCACATTCAAACGCATCTCCTCCATCTCTTTCAAATGACGCAAATGATATTCGATCAGCAAATTCGCCATCGAGATCGAATCGCGTGTTCCCGTGAATACGAACGGCACCGGTTCGTCAGCCTGCAGTGCACCCAACTCATTTCGAACTCAATCATCCAATAATAACTCAGCAAATCGCAACATTCAATCCGAATTCATAACGTTAACACGACAAAAGCTCTGACATAATTTCAATGTTAAACTTAAATTTCTAGTATCGCAAANGTTCATTAAGACTAAAAGAATAATGAAACGTTCTTAAAAGAATTAAAAGATCAGACACACACTGCAAATTGAATGACAGACTAATCCCGATTAAGTAAGGGATCCAAAGTAAAAACACTCCAAACACCATGACATCACCATCATCGAAAACTAATGAAAGACCAATGAAAATCACTCAAACCTGAATGGTTTTTCCAGCCTTGCCAATAACTTTCCCGACCATACCACGAGGCACATCGAACGACTCAACCGCATACTCCAATTGTGAACGTGCTGCTGCGGCCGCCTCGGCATTCTCCGCATAAACCTTCAATTTTTCACTCATCCTTAATCCTTAAACCCTGCTGATATTCTAAAATATTTCTAATGCTAACCAAATCTAAACCAATTTTATCACACAAATCATCGAATAGTCACCAATACAAACGCAATGAATATTTTGAAATAGTGATGAAACAACGGCAAACATCAATAATGATGAATACCTTGAAAAGAACCGGTGTACGACCGTCATTACTCTCCACCAACTGTATATCATCAACGCCCTCGATGGCACGTGCACTCTGAATATTCGCTCCATGTGAGCCGATCGCCAGACCCATCAAATCGAACGGTACTGTGAACTCTTCGACATGTGCCGATGACTGTAGAGATGTATTCTCGAGAAGTCGCGCTGCCTCCTTAAACAGCTCAATATAAATACGACAAAATCCCAAATTCTGCAGTGAAACCGACCAACAAATTTGCCGAACAAACTTCCAAAACTTCTAAAAAAATCAACTTTAGAGAAACTTCTAATGGAAGTGATGAAAGTCCTACAACGTCAAATGCCACACTTAACTTTCTCCTCTTCAGTCCATGTTGAAACCTTTTTAATCAAACAGAGAGACATATATGAAAACAAAAAAGAAAACAATTTATAAACGATATTATAGGATAAATATTTACATACGCATTTATTAAAGTTAATCATAATTTAAGCAACCAACACTAACAACCTCTTGCCGTTGAAGTAATTGCATCTTTTGACGTGAATCCTTGAAGTACATCTCAGATAGTACGGATGCTCTTTTGATTGCCTGCTCCTCGAACGTCTACAACACAATACTCTACCGTCATTATCATCATTATAACAATAACAATAATAACAAAAACCTAACAATAAAATAAAAACTATAGCAATCATAATAATGCCCAAAAATAACCAAAAGTAACTCACAGATAAAAGTAGATTACCAGTGTCCTCTTCATATTCCACAAAGACATTCTTAACGGTCGTCGCAAAATCGGAATGAATCTCAGGACGTTGAAAATAAGAACGTAGATCATCGGGTACAACAATTTTTGAGTGTTTGAACTGACTCTTCTTCAACGGTGTGCATTTTACGGGCAGTGTTCGAATGCGTTCAAATGACACAATATCCATTTGCGGTGGACCTTCGATACTCTCTACTGCGGCCAATTCACCCTTAAATTTGACTCCTCAGAATGCTTATTATTCATTTAATGTGCTGCTGTATGCACACATAACATAACCTCTGCATCCAAAATAACAATAACGATTGCTTTTCAATAACACATTATACATAGAGGATAATGAATCTCAATTGTTATCGACATAGTACACTTCTCATTCATACGTAACCGACCGATTAACATCTATATTTGAATGAATTCATAATCTACTTACTCCGCAGCTTTAAACATTTCAATGAGAGCTCTATAAACCAATCGATCTAGTCAGTCAAATGGTTCAGATATGATGGGTTTGGAATGAACCTTGGATTTTACACATTACACGAAATGACTAACTTTTAATTCCTTGATTCTCGACTTCTGCCAACCCATAATATTCTCATCTTGTTTCATCAATGCCTCGATCGTATCACCCACTTTTAGGGTCATCTCTCCGGCTTTTGCTGGCCGCGGAGGTAAACGACAATCTTCGAATTTAACCTTCAATAATATACGATCATTTATATATTTATCTCCTTCAATGACATATTAATGATAATAATTACACGGGCAGGATGAAGCAGAAAGTAAGAAATACCAACACAACTGCATGATTATTACATTTAACAATGATAATGATAACAATATTATAACACTAATACTTCCACACTTCATAATGCTATCGGCACGGAATAAGAAGCACTTTGATGAGTGTGAAATAAAACAGTCAAAATACAGAATAATCCAGTACTAACCTCGTCAATTCGATTGGAATCATTTCCATATGAAACCGCGATACTATCCGCTTTAATTGATTTGACAGCAGCCTGAATTACTCAATCTCATTTAAAAAAACACCTCCACGATACCAAAATCGTATGGTAACAACAAAATGTTCACAAAACTGAACGAGCTGAATAAAATTCTGTGATAAATCCGAACTCAAATATATGAATTAGCTAAATTAAACACTAAAAGTAAAACCATCATAAAAAACATTCGTACAATTCAATTCATCAACAAACCTTGTAAAAAACGCCGTTATTTTGTTTAACTTCAATTTCCATGATGTTGTTCGGAGTGGTGATTTTCCAAATCCGGTGTAGATCCTAATCCGATGATACGTGAAGAGCCGAAGCTCGTTTCAGTTAGACCACACTTGTACTGGTCGAAATCTGCAATGCTCGCTCGCCTGGCCAGTAGTCAGAAATGCAGAGTCAATTTCATTGCTCGCTCACAATCACCACGTAAAATATGCGTTCGCATAGAAATATACAAATTTTTGATACGATACTATACGCTATGCATACGAACACCTAAACACACAAACACTCGCATAGAACACACAGAATTTGAACGCACAGACACAATCGCTATAATAGTTGATTCGCCTGAATATCGTATTCTGCATTCGTTCACTCTCACTAGAGTCTCGGCTCTTTCACTTGCCGTCAATGCAGCAGCAGCAGCAATAGTATTTGCCACATGTTGAATTTGTCGTTGCGGAAGACGTAACTTCAAGAATGCAAAATTGCACTCGCATTTCAGTGCTTGCATTCACTTCGCACCAGAGTGAAATTAGCAAAAATTGATTGCATACACAAACATTGCTCAGGCAGAATTACGGAAACACTTAATCTTAAGCAAATAAGCACCGCACAGTGAGTATTTATGGAAGCTGCAAGAAGGAGTTGTACGATTATTCATTGACTGACTCGATGCATTGTGCATTGCATTGCATTGCCTTGATGTTGTGATATTATACTAATCGTAAGATGACCTCAAAACAACGGCAATTGCTTGAAGCGCATTCATTACTCATCAAGAAATAATATCATCCATTCTATCATATACTATTTGGCTGCATATGCGCACTGATTACTGTTCATAGTCTATTGATTAGGCAGGTAAAAATTAGATTGATTGATTGATTGATAAGATGACTGGGAAAGTAGGTCGCCAATAAACTTCAAGCTATATTCAGGTCATCACGAGGAGAATATCGATCGACCGACATACAATTAGAACATTACCTCAGAGCAGCGCTCATTTCCTGACTTCTCTCATGCGATTTAATCTTCATACGATGCTGTCCCTTCATTAAGTTGAATTTAAGCTTCAGTTGGTGCAATGAATCCAGTAATTTTTGTTACCATTTCGAGATTATTCGTATGAATGAGCGCAATGAATCAATTTTGATCATCCATTCAGTCATGCTCAAGTACAGAGTATCGTGCTTCATGGAACTTGAATTAGATGAGGGCATTTTGTTGCCCGATCCATTTGTTCTTTATTTATCACAATTTGCGAAGATTTCCGGAATTCACGTTCACTTCCTCGGCTTCTCCTTTCTATCAACCAGTGCATAACTTGTACAGCAAGAAAATCCATGCGAATAAGTCGACTGAATTATCCAAATATCCGGTAGACTATCATAAGTTCGATCTCCGTGTTTAGCGTATCAGACGCACATAATTCAACCGAAATTAAAGTGATCATATGTCCTTTGTCTTCCGCACTGTGCATAAACCATGTAGTTTCAATTGTGAAATTTGAGCCAAATGAAAAGTTGAATTCAGGAGTGAAACGGGATGTCATCACTGCGTTTCGTACCACAATGTAGTAAACCATCCGTGGACGTTCTACAACGATTCCGCGATGTTCTAGCGTCCGTCAATCGATTCCTTGTTCTGACTGGTGCTGGAATCTCGACAGAATCTGGTGATGACCTGTTCCGTATTAATTCACGTTAGAGCGAATCTTTAATACCAACTACTCCATTAATATTCTACTAACCAGCCGATACTCGAACCATACAAGCTTTGATCACACTCATACAAGCTTTCAAAATGTCTGCAGATTGATCACTTTCCGAAATTTCAGAATCCTCAAAACTCACCAGAAAAAACATAATCAGATCCGACGATATGTTGTCGACAAATAAACACTATGTTTCCACAGTCAACTTCATCATCTTAATGGATTTTTGATAAAATTCCATTCATTGTACTCATTTTTCAGGTATACCCGACTATCGCTCCGAGAAAGTGGGTCAATACGCTCGTTCGAATCACCGACCAATGGATCATTCGACTTTTATGAAATCCGAAAAAGCTAGACAACGCTATTGGTCAAGGAATGCGATTGCATGGCCACTTTTCTCCAAGTCGGAGCCGAATGCAACGCATTATCAAATTGCAAAATGGGAAATGTCAGATAGGGTGCGTGAGATACTTTTGCATAATGATAGTCGAATGACTATCAGCCAATTCAAGTGTATTTTACTAGATTCGATAGCAATAACTGTCCTCACCGAACGTTGTATTCTTTACAAAAACCGATTCCCAAAAAGCTGTATCACATGATTATAAGGGTGAAAGTGTTATACGAGAATTCAATCAGAAACAACCTTATTGTTACAAAGAATCCATTGTGAATATTCAAATTAACTAGTATCAAGTGCGGGTTTTCAATTTTCATTTACTCAACAAGCATCACTAAATTATGAGAATGTACATTTCAACGATTACATCGTGTTTTCGCATCTGATGATAGAGAAAGTCCGAATATATAAGCCGAAGTCTGAGCCGAAATGACTGGATTAGAAAAGTCATATCCTGATTTGAACTACTCGTATCGTCAAGGCTTCATTTACTGACTGATTGACTGATACAAGTCATTAGCATATTCAAACTTCGATGTAATTTTTTGACATTCCTTCTTAGAGCAAGTGATCAAATCGTTCTCTATTTGAATTTCAGTTCAGTTGGTTAATAACGCAAAATGTCGATGGCCTACATCGTAAGGCTGGTTCCAAGCTGTTAACCGAACTCCATGGTTGTAGTCATCGAGTTCGCTGCATGAACTGCAACCAAGTCTATCCACGGTTTGTCATGCTCAACCCTACGAGTTTTCTCCAAATCCATTTCCTGAATCTTTCGAGAAATATCACCAGTTTCTGCGAGTCGAGTTTGTCATCGAATGTCCATGCTGAAAGGACTGAAAATATGATATGAATTTCCAATTAAAATTGCTCATTTGCATAAACCGGATAACAGTTTTACTGTGAGACTTTCATAATTGTTGGTGCTAAAGATAGCTCACTTAGCTCAAAACTCAATATACTACCTCATCGTTTCGGTGAGTGATGATAAATAATTGAAGTGAAGAGGTACAACAATGGATAATGAATGCGAACAAAGACTGGTATGTATCGGAAGTAGGTGAAATGGCACCTGATGGTGATATCGCAATACCCGACGAGGCTGTCAAATCGTTCAAGTTACCGTATTGTCCCAGTTGTGGGCCAGGCTCAATCCTAAAAACCGATGTGGTTTTCTTTGGGGATTGTGTAGCGGGCAAAATTGTTGATTTCTGCTATCAAAAGGTCAGATTTGTTCATTCTTAAAACATATTCCTTTGTAATAATCCATACATCTTCATTTGACTTCTGGCATGAACTATCTAAGAACAAATTGCACGCGTTTTGTATTCGATCATGCAAAAGCTCCTCATATCTATCAGGTGCTGTTAGGAGAGTTTTGTGATGCATCAAGAAGAGAATCTGATAAGCACTCCACGATTGTAATATTTTTAGTGCTTGTGTAGCTGTTTAATCATTAAGTATATTATTGCTATTACAATTATCACTACTTTCACTCACTGATCTCATGAAGAGGATCAATTGCAGTTGGAAGAAAGCGATGGAATACTGGTGTTGGGCTCATCGCTGGCTGTAATGTCCGGCTATCGTTTCGTTCATAAAGCATCGCTCAGAGGAATGCCCATACTGATTGTAAATATCGGACCAACAAGAGGTGATCACTTGGCTACTGTGAAATTGACGGCGAGATGCGGCGACATTATTCAATCTATCTAAAAATTTATTTGCTTGTATTATATGTATTATGTATGCATGTTCAGGGATGCGAGAAACCCTACTATAGCTGGTTTCGCTCTGTTTACGAATAATCTCATTGTCAATGTTTTCTGACTCATCATTATGAGATCTGCATGTAT